TTGTACAACTTTTCATCTAAAATGTCAATTCGGCCATCCTCTTCTCTAGCTCAAAAAGGTATTTCCTTTTCTAATACCCTTGTCATGGAAATCTCAAGGAGAGACTTGATTGATCATTGATGTAGTTCCTCCTTCAAACTTTTTGGACGGATCTTTAACTTCTTGGATTGCTTCAAGCTCCTTCAATGGCTTCCTATGATGTTAGAAGTCATGTCTAACACACATGGGAAAGGTAGGATCTCCCTTGGTGACGCCACACTCTTCAAGAGTGATAAGTCTCTTCAAATTCTCACCACACTCAAGAGAGAATAAGAGAAAAGGAAGAAGTTTCAAGGAGAGAAACAAGCTTTGAGAGAGAATTTGGAGACAAATTTTGTCTAAATCATGTATATTACTCAAAACTATCACTATCACAAAATGAGTACAAAAATACAATATATAGAGTTTAGTTGGCTTATGGTGCAAGCTAGATTAACCATGGTTAAATGTAACCATGGTTAGTTATCTTGTACTTAAGCTAACTAACTCTAGTTAAATGTCTACAAGTATAGTTAATTGTCTAGAAGTTTATGGAGCAAGCTAAGTTAATCCTAGTTTAAGAATAACCTAGGTTAGCTTAAGTTAACTTCAACTATCTAACCTAATCATTACAACTTGTAGACTAATGATTACTTTTTACAAGTTTGTTGAGATGTTACTATCAAAGCCAAGTTCTTAATTTGTAGCTTGGATGACAAGCTTGACATGGTTTGGACGTCCAAACCACTTGCGTGAGCAAGTGAACGTCCAAACCTATAGGCCATAAAAAGATTTGGGCCATCCAAGCCCAAACAAGTCTAACAAGACTTTGCTAGTTATACCTCCCCTAATCTACTAGTTATACCTTTAAGTAAAAACAATACCAAGATAAAATTACCTACACTATTTGACCCAAAATACAAGGTCAAAATAAAGGAAAATATTTACAAGGAAAATATAAAAGAAAAATAAACTATGAAATAAGCCTATAGCTCTATAGAAGCTTAGGCATTCTATCTTCACCTTGAGCTCACTTCTCTTGCTTTCTTCTTGACATTGCTCTTGTCCAAGGTCTTATGGTCTTCAAGAATGGTTTTCCATCACCTTGTTAGCACCAAACAAAATTCTAAAGCTCCATGGATCATTGTTTCTGGAGCAATTGACCACATGACAAATTATTCAAAATTGTTCTCCACATATAGTTCTTGTGTAGGTCATAAAAAGATTAGAATTGCAGATGGTACGTTGTCTACTATAGCTAGTGTTGGTTCCATTCCTATAACTAAATCTTTAACCCTTCACAATGTTCTCCATGTCCCAAATTTGTCATGTAACCTTTTGTCCATGAGTAAATTGACACATGATCAAAATTGTTTTGGCTATTTTTGACTCCTCTACCTGCAAATTTTTTGAGTTTTGGGAGGATGATTGGTAGCGCTAAAGATGTTGATGGACTTTATCTCTTTGAGGATGAAGCTAATTTTAAAGAAAAAATTCAGGGCAATTGTCTCAATTGAATTTCTATTCATGAAAATGAAAAAATAATGCTATGACATTGTAGTCTAGATCACCCAAGTTTTTTGTACTTAAAAAATTTATTTCCTGAACTTTTTAAAAATAAAAATCCAAATATGTCTTGTGAAGTTTGCCAACTTGCAAAGCATCATCATTCCTTTTGTTCCCCACATTCTTAGATGATCATACAAGATTAACATGAGTTTACCTGATGCAAACAAAATCTAAAGTTGAGAACATTTTCAATTTTTTTCCCCATTTGATACAAACTCAATTTCATGAAAAAATCAAAGTATTCCATAGTGATAATGGAATGGAGTATTTTAATAAACACCTAAATGATTTTTTTTCTTGAAAATGACATTATTCATCAAAGCTCTTGTGTAGATACTCCACAACAAAATGGAGTGGCTGAAAGGAAAAAATAAGCACATACTTGAAGTTGTTCGAGCTTTATTGTTTCAAAGTATAACACCAAAATATCTTTGGGGTGAAGCAATCTTAACTGGAACATTTATGATCAATAGGATGCCTAGCAAAGATTTGAACTTCAAAACTCCTTTTGATTTTAAACTTCTTTTCCAAATAATAGATTCTCTTGCACTTTACCCCTAAGAATATGGTGTACTACTTTTGCATACTCTTGAGCCAAATCAAAGTAAACTTGAACCTAGAGCAAAAAAGTGTGTTTATTGGCTATGCTCCCAACCAAAAAGGATACAAATGCTTTGATCCTGTTTCCAAGAAAACCTTTGTTTCTATGGATGTTATTTTATTTTTTTTGAAAAGTCATTTTTTCCAAAATCATCTTCAGGGGGGAGAAAAGAGGAAGATGCAGTCCAATATTTTCAAACTTCAGATTTTCCCATCTTACGAACTTTATAGAATTCAGATTTATTAACTTTTGATTCCGTACATAATGAAGGAAGTTTAAAGGCTCAAAAAAAGGGTAGACCAAGTAAGCATAATAAATACAACATTTTAGAAATTGTTTCAGAAAGTGAAATTTCAGATTTACAAATTGTGCCAAGTTCTGAAATGATTGAAACTGAACAAAATGAGACAGTTGCAATGGGTAATAAGGGTGTAGAACCCTTTTCTTTGTCTATTCCAGAAAGAAAAAACCTCAAAGAATAGAGCTAAATGATCTTCAAGACTGCCATGAATCCAATGAACCATCAGGTAACAATTTTTCTAATTCTCCAATCTGTTCAAACTATAGTTGAATCTGTCCTTGATGATTCTAACCTTCCTATTGCTATTAGAAAGGGTATTAGATCATGTACAAAGCATCCTATCTCAAGTTTTCTCTCATGAAAACTTATCCCTTTTGTTTTGGGCTTTTACTTCACAACTGTGAGAAATAAAAATTTCAAAAGATATACAAGCTGCTCTGAGTGGAAGGAAGCTGTCTTGGAGGAGATGCAAGCCCTAGAAGAAGAATCAAACTTGAAAAGAAGTGGACTTACCAAGAGGAAAGACAACTATTGGGTGTAAATGGGTGTTTACCATCAAGTATAAGGCAGATGGATCTATTGAGAGATACAAAGCCAGGTTAGTTGAGGGGGCATGTGTTAATCCAAATGGCATTACTAGAGTTTCATAATGCACTTGGTGTGTTCTAAAAGCTGTTTTATGGGATGTGTGGTTTGTGCATTCTGATTTAGTGATATCTAGACCTCAAGTCTATTTTGGAGAAGTATGTGGCTCTGTTTAGTTCATCCAATAGTTCTTCTATGTCTAGAATTAGAAACTTGTCCGGAACAATGGCCTTGTTTAGTGTTCGATAAACGACAAAAAACCTCCAACTCCCATTCTTCCTTTTGACTAAGATGACTGGGCTGGAAAAAGGACTATTGCTGGGCCTAATGATTCCTAATGTGATTCCTGATGACCCTCCAATTTCCTCCTCTTCCGTTGAGTGATCATTTGGGTTCACTGAATTAACCCCCTCCACAGATGGAGTTTTCTGGTTGTTCTGATTTAAAAGGTAATTTCTTGATGTATTCCAAATCTGTCTTGAAGTCTGCCAACTTCGCCCCTGTACCCTGACCGCCTTCTCTTAAGCTTTAACCTGATTATCCATTGTGAGTGTGATCCGGAAGGTCAGACCTACTTGTTAGGAATCTCTTCTTGAGAAAGGAAAAGAAGAACAAAATCCTAACCAAGATCAGCACACCCACACAGCAAGACCAAAAAGCTGAATGACTTTATTGATTATGAACAAAATTCTTACAAGAACCAAGCTATACAAGTATAACCCCAAAAGGAGCACTCCTTTTCACACTGGAACTTCCTGTTATACAGATTATACAAAAAATGCCTCATATAAACAATAGAGGCCTTATTTAAAATATTTATAACAAACTATCAGATTTAACTAACAAACTTGACCCAGTCAACTATCGGTTACAATATGACCCTTTCCCTTTTTCTTTCTATAATAAACATGTAGAGGTTTTTGATGCTCTCTGTAATCATTCCTAACACCACCCCATTTCGGATCACATCCTGCGTTTTCTTCCAGCCCCATCTTTTCTCACCTTATGACGAGAATTGAAAATGTGGATCTTTTGTAAAGGTCTATAATTTTGACAAGGAGTAACATGAACTCTTTTTTTTTTTTTCTTAACCTTCTGTCTTTCAAAGAACTGAAAGGACATCACTGTCCCTCCCTTATTGGAAATTGATTTCATTTTTTTTAAAATGATTTCTTTTCTATTTGGGTATGGTTCTACTTGTTAGATGATAGAAACTGGATTAGAAATGGAAGAAAAACATAATTTCTTAATTGATTGAGTGTATCTCTATGAAGAATTTCCTGGATATTCGAGATATCCAGGCCTCTCCCTAGTCCCAATTCTATTTCACCAAATGATTGATTCTTCTCAACTTCTCTTCTTATTTATTGGCAGCTACTGGTACGGTAACATAAACCCACCTGTAATGGGACTATTCTGTTGTAAGCTCATTCCACTAATTACTAATATAACTAACTGACCTATCATTAGACTATTGGTTTTTTCTCCCCCAACTTCCCCAACTTGTTGCACTATTATTTTTGTTTACTCGATAGATTATTATGTGTTTTAGTAAGTTCTCACTCTTAGCTCTTTTTACTCTGTTTTTGCCATGTCTACTTCCCTGCTGTTTGATTAATGATGACTGTGTTTAAACTATGACTTTTGAGTATTAATGATGAACACATGTCAAGTTTTGAGTATATCTTGATATTTTTTTGTTCTTTTTTTAGGGATCAATATGCATTGAGTTTAATAGAAATTTGTGGGGCCTGGCTACTCTCTGCACTACAATGAGTTTTTTTTTGTTCTTTTTTGGGATCAATATGCATTTTGAGTTACTGTTGTATTGTAATGACTTATGAGTTTGTTGGTAGTTATACCAATGTTGATTAAGGTGCTTCATTCTAAATAGACTAAGTTTTTCATAATGTTTCTATTTTCCAGCAAATTCAGTGACATTTATGATGAAGAATATTTTATCAGTACCTTGAAAAATGATGTACGGGTGGTTGAAAAAATTCCTGAGTACCTGATGGAAAGATTTGGCAGCAACATGACAAATGTTTACAATTTCAGGGTGAAGGCTTGGTCATCCATTCAGTATTACAAAGATGTGGTACTCCCAAAGTTACTTGAAGAAAAGTGAGTGAATGGTTTTTTAGTACAAATCTATCACTTATTGTCATTGATCTTCTATAGTTAAACAGTATAGTAGGTATTTTATCATGGTATTTGGAAGAAGTAAGAAAGCATTAGGTTGTATTGGAGTATATCTTTACTTTGGTTTATTTGTTTTTCTAATATGTGCAGCAATAGTATAGGTTTTGTTTTCTGTTTTTAAACTCTTGTAATTGACCGCTGTCAGTTTAGTTAGTTTTATTTTGAAGCTTCCGTGAGAAGCTATTATCACTCTTTTTATCCCTATATAATCTAATTGTAATTGTATTGTAATCAGGTTACCAGTACAATTTTCATTCTTCAAGAATCTATCTTCCGTTGTTCTCTTTCTCGCTAATTCTGATTTTGTAAAACCCTAATATGGTATCAAGAGCAAGTTAGATCTTCAAATTTTTTCTCTTAATAATCATGCATGGCTGATTTCAATACTCCTCCACCACCTCCTCCTCTGCCATTTCATGCTGATCCATTCATTATAGCTTCATCTTCCTTTTCAAAACCTTTGTCGACACTGTTGATTACCTTCTTATTCCATCTTAGAGAAACATGACAGCAAGAATTACCTTCTTTGTTGTCAATAGGTTGAACCTATCATCAAAGGACACAGGCTTCATCACTATCTAGTAAATTCACAAATTCCTCAAAAGTTTCTCTTGACTGAAGATTGTGATGCTGGAAATTTATCCGATTCATATCTCGTATGGGAACAACAAGACCAGCTTCTCCTTTCTTGGTTGAAATCATCCATCTCGACAAACATGCATACTCACGTCAGTGGTTGCCAAACATCTTGGCAATTATGGGATAAAATCCATTCCTATTTTCATGCATATACTAATGCTATGGCAAGATAACTCCGCAATGAACTTCGTAAAACAAATATGGAAACAAACATCTTTCTTAAATTTGATTTTAGTTGATTGAATTCCACTCATTCGAAACAAGCATCTTTCTTAAATTTGATTGCTCTTTGTGGGTCCTTTCCAAGGAAAGAAAAGATGTTGCAAATCAGGTTATTGCATGTCTCGCTAGCTTCCTTTTGTTTGTATAGAATCTAAACAAACTTAAAGTGCTTGAATGGCTATAAATAAAGCCAACAAGAGAGATTTCCCATTGAATTGTCTTCTTAATTGGGAAGCTTCCCAATGTTCTCAAACATTAAATTTATGCAATATGTTGCCCTTGGAGTTCAATAAATTTTGGATCTTTTTTCCTCCAACATCTTACAAGCAAGAACGTAGTTACTCCCATTGTTCGTGATGACTTGGACAAATATTTCCTCTCCAGTCTCCTCTATAATTGAGTCAAATAACTCCAATAATTTCTCTCCAGTCTTTACAAAATTAGATGCATAAACAAATTTGATGTACATTGCCCTTGTAGAAGAGTTCACCAAAAAATTATGCATCTTTGCTTCCTATTCGTTCAAGCATTTGACATGATAAAACACCTATAACTTGCCTGTAGTTGCCTTTGACTCTTCATTAAATTATTAGTGTACTCTACCTTGTGAAACCCTCTACCCCATAGGCTAATATATATCTATATAAAATAAAGGAGATAATTAAGGAGTTCAAAAATAAACATTACTAAAAAGAAAACCATTCACAAAACCCCTCGGATAGAGATATCACATTTGAAACATAGCTAAAACCAAGAAAATACTAAACAAGTGCAAAACAAGCCATTACAACTAGGAAACTAACATCTGTCCTAAGCATATTGAAATCAACAAAATAATTGAAATCTTAACTACAACTGTGATACATCCTATTAGAGCTCAACCATCACCAAGCGTAAGGTCGAAGCTTTGTCTTCGACATCATCATCAAGATGATCATCCTTACCTGCAAAACACATAAGGACACCAACAAAAAGAAAAGGGAGTGAGAAATATCTCATTATGGTTATCGGTGTGAGCTATATCCAAAGCGAGAATATTCACTCCCCCTTACTTCGATGAGCACTAGGCAAAAGGTGTGAATACTTTGATTTGAATCTATATGACAAAGTATCATACAGTTTTCAAATTTTTTAAAAATTTGTAGACTTTATCTATACATTAATAACTTTTAATTGAAAGGTTGGATTGCTGAAATTCAACATACACCATGAGTTATTGAGTGGAATAACTTTACCAAGAGTGTGTGTGTGTGTATATATATATATATATATATTTTAGAATAGCAGTCATCCTGCTATTTGGGATTAACGACTAATAGTGTAGCTTGATACCAAAATCAGACTATATATTGGTGGACTCTTGCTATAATTTCATTGTCACAAGTCTCCTTTATGCTTGTTTGCTTCAATTTCTCTTTGTTTCTTGCAATTGCTATTTTTGGTCATTTACAAAAAAAGGTTAATAGGTCCTTTCTTCATATCAGCCTTCTTCATCTCATTGGCACTAACAAGTATTTGAGCTTCTAATTCTCTAAAATATCGCTCCTCCAATGTATAATCTTCACTATCAAGAGATATATCTTCCATTACTCTTTGGAATAACTCACTCTCTTTCATCTTCTTATTTTTCTCAAGTGCTCACAACTTATCTCTAAGTTCTTTTCGACAACTTTGGTAGGCTACAACATTTCCCTTCTTTCGCATTAGATGTTGCTTTCCTCTTGTAATTCCTCTTTTCATAATATTTTTGCAGTAATTGTAAAAAATTTCATTGATATCATTCTCTTTAGTAGGATGACAATGTTTCCATCCTATGCCTATCCTCTTAAGAGTTTCTTAAGAGTTTGAGGATGTCTGACTTTGGTTTGGGTTACTAGACATTGTCCTAAAAATAAGAATAGGAATAGTAACAAAACAGGAACTCAATGCTAGAATAGAATAGGAACTCAAACTGGACTCAACAAATGAAGAAGACATAGAAGAATAAAAGATGAAGAATGAGAACTAAAATAGGAACTCAATTATAGAACATAGAAAAGAAAAGGAATGCAAAAAAAAAAAACATCATAAATGTATATGAAGAATTGTTGAGGGATGTTAGATATAGTTTTATCTTATGGGCCTAGGCCCACTACTTTGTATAAAAACCTATCTTTTGCTTTGCAATACACAAGGAATATGTTCTCTCCATTCACCATTACTCTCAACATGGTATCAGAGCCATTTAGATCCACTTTAAAAATGGGCCACTCACCATTGATGCATGCCTCACAGGCATGAGGGGGTGTATTGCAAAGCAAAAGATAGGTTTTTATACAAAGTAGTGGGCCTAGGCCAATGTTCCTCTTTCCATTGATAAGTTAGATGGAACCAATTATGATACTTGGGCTTCGGATATCAAGCTTTGGCTTAAGGGACAAGATTATGTTGCTCACCTTACCCAGACAGCTGCTTCCGTTGATGAGAAGGATCGTCATCGTTGGTTGAAAATTGACACTCAAATTTGTAGTGTCCTTAAGTCGACCATTCATCCCTCCCTAAAGCAAATTTTTCGTGTCCATGAGACATGTGTTGATGTATGGGAACAAGCCCGAGTGTTATACACCAATGATACTCAACGTCTCTATGGTGTGTGTCAAAATCTCCAGAATATCATTTCCCCACGACGCCTTGAGGTCTATAGTTGTATTGATTGTAAGTTGCCTATTGTTGTAAGATGTCTATAGTTGTATTGTTGTAAGTTGCTTATAGTTGTTAAGATGTCTATTGCTGTAAAGTTGTTAAGATGCCTATTGTTGTAAAGTTGTTAAGATGCCTATTGTCATAAAGTTGTAAAGCTACCTATTGTTGTAAAGTTGGAAAGTTGGGGACATATGGTGAAGATATATGTCCTATGTTGAGATACATAGTACTAAGGTGATAAGTTGAAAGTTGTTTTAAAGTTGAATCCCTTAGTACTGTGTGGGC